CAAACCTCCCTCCCACGCCAGCCATATGCAAGCCGGCCTGTTCCGCTAATGCTCAGTGCAAGGTGGTGGGAGGAAAGGGGGGATGCAAGTGCAAGGCGGGGTTCCAAATGAAGAACAACAAGTGCACATGTAAGGGAGGGGGTGAGATGTATGTTCTTCTTTCTGTCTCGCTCTCTGCCACTGTCAGAATGTCATATTTGTTATCTAGCCTGCAGTGGGGTACTCTATAGCGAGTATAACCCCTTAGGGTTTCATATTTGTATCTCATTGCTTGCTAGTACAACCCCCTCTTTTGCCTAACTTCTTCTTGCCTAGCTAGGTTAGTCCTAGCTATGGCTACTATCGTTACTTACCTATTTTCACATGGTGATCAGAGCAGTACGCTCCTGGCCTGTGTGCCTAACCACGTTCCTTCCGCTGGAACTACTACTTTCCCTTACCGCCGTGCGCCCCGAGGCGCGCAGCGGTTTTCTGCCCGCCGTGCGCCCCGAGGCGCGCGGCGGTTCTCTTCCCGCCGCGCGCCCCGAGGCGCGCGGCGGGTTTCTGCCCCGTCACGCCGCGCGCCGCTCCCGGGAGGCGCTGTGACGGGCGACGGGGACCTCCGCGTCGCCCCCCGTCGCCCGTCGTGGCCTCTGTGCGACCCGTACAGGCAGCGCGCGGCCCGTACGGACTGCGCCAGGCCCGCGCGCGGCCCGTACGGGCTGCGCCAGGCCGTCGCGCGGCCCGTACGGGAGACGCCCGACCCGCGCGCGGCTCGGGGCGCATGCGCGCGGCTCGGGCGTCCCTACCAGGCCCGTGGTGGGCCCGTTTCCTACCTTCCCTGCCCTCCCCGCTGTTCCCAGTCCCTCTACTACCGCCCTACCCCTCCTACTCCCCATTCTCCTACTTTAGGGTTTGGGGGTGAGGGGTATGGGGGTGACCCTCCTCAGTACCACTCCCTGCTCCTCCTCCTCCTCCGTCTCCTTGTGCTGCAGCTGCCGCTGAGGGGGGGGTGATTGTGGTGGAGCCGGTGGAGTGATACTAAGGGGGGGGGAAGGGGAGGAGAGCTAGCGGTGTAGCAGTGGGTGTGTGCCAAGGGGAGTAGGACAGTCTGGGGAAGCTGAATGGAGGATGCCGATGTGTCGCTAGCAGCACCTGTAGTCCGGGGACTTCGTCCGGTAGCCCAGTCGTAGCCAGCTGTGCCAGCCGCCCGTGGGTCCGTTGCTCGTCTGCCGCTACTTTAGCCACGGGGCCAGTTACTCCTGTAGTCCGGGGGCTTCGTCCGGTAGCCGCTGTGCCAGTCTGCCTCCTGTTGCCCGTGTGTCTGCAGCTTCATCCATCGCCTCCTATCTCCTCTCCTCTCAGTCTCTCTCCTCCTCCTCACTTGCCCGTTGTGACTACCTCTAGCTTTGCTTATAACTGTGAACTTTATACTACTGCTGCTTGAACTTGTGCTCAGACTGTGTGGTGACATTGTGATCCACCCTGAGCTTGTTCTGTTTTGCTTGCTCTGCTGATTACTCCCCACTTTGGCTATGGGGGTGTGTCAGAATGTCATATTTGTTATCTAGCCTGCAGTGGGGTACTCTATAGCGAGTATAACCCCTTAGGGTTTCATATTTGTATCTCATTGCTTGCTAGTACAACCCCCTCTTTTGCCTAACTTCTTCTTGCCTAGCTAGGTTAGTCCTAGCTATGGCTACTATCGTTACTTACCTATTTTCACAGCCACGCCAGCCACTGTCTGATCGTCCTCTATCATCTCCTGTCATATCTCACTTCTCACGCGGTGGCCTGCCCTCCATTTGCCCCCTCTTATACTTCCATTTTTCTCTCTCCAACCATGAACTGATCAAATTCATTATGAAGGGGTTGGTGGACAAGTGAAGAACCTGCTACCCTTGTTGGATGGGCAGGGGGCAGGGAGGTACAAGCTGGCAGCGCCAGGGGGACAGTAGCAGGGCTCTTGCTAGGATTCAAGCCCGTCTGAAGACATGTATAAAAAAATTCGTTTGGTCTGACGTTTTGACGAGGAAAAAAGGTTAGTCTGAACTTTCAGACGAGTGCAAACGCCACGTCTGATTTTTCAGCTGAAATAGATAGTGCTGTCTGTTTTTTTCCAAATTGCATCGTGTAGTGTATTACCGTATATCGATTCAGGGCGACACAACCTAAATGTGGAAGGTTGTTGGGCAGCTCGCGGCATGCTGAGGGCAGGGGGGGTGGGTGTTGGGCTGCGACAAGGACTTCGGGGGAGTTCGGCTGGGGGTGTTGGGCTGTTGCGAGACTTTTCTAGAGGAAAGCGAGCTAGGCTAGGAGCGGGGACCTAAGGCTATGGGAAAGGGGGAGAAGGGCTGGACTAGGCCAGTAATATAGGGACGAGGAGCGAGGGCATCAAATGGGGGGTTGCGATGTTAGAGAAGCGAGGGATCGGGGGGGAAGAGGGGGGGGGGGGGGGGGGGGGGGGGGGAGGGGGGGGGGGAGAGGGGATTGGGGTCGATATCAGACAAAATGCAACCCCCTATCTGAAATTTCAGACGAAGTATAAGGCTTCCTCTGAAAAATCAGATGAACTGAAATTCGTTATCTTACAGATCAGACGAAGTAAAAATCCTCGTCTTGAAAGTCAGATGAAAACAAAAATAAAGGTCTGAAAATCAGAAAATCAGACCAATTTGGTCTGATAACGAGAGCCCTGGACAGTAGATGGGTGGGGGCTGGTGGAGCAGAGGTGCGAGCAACTGCATGCAGTTGCTCGGAGGCCAGAACCAGGAACCGGCTTGACTGACGGCTGGCTGTATCGTTTATGTGTGTAGGTATCAGGAGGGATATCTTTTGCAGGTTCCTTTGTCGTTTGTACCATAATATCTGGTTTTTGTTCCTAACGAGGGATGGCTAGCTTCGGTACTTTGTGTGTAACCCTGTTGTTTGTCGTGTCGTGTCTTCTTTGTTGTTTGTTTGTACGCTGTATTGAAAAACCAAGTTTGTCGCAGATTGAAAAGCAGGACCAAGTTTGTATTACGGTATCAAAATAGCTACTTTCGCTGTATTAACACGGTGGCTCCTTATCCATTCGTTCCTTTGGCTATCTCGGCATACGTAATACAGTATAATTACGCTACAAAATTACAGCGTTAAAACAATCAAAGTGGCATGGCACCCAACTCAAGTACCGTCTCCCCCCGGATATAAGCGCCACCCTAGGATAAGCGCCTGGCGCTTCTAATTGGCATATGGCGCTTATATCCCCTCCTCGATTATAAGCGCACCCCTTGAAAAAACTTGTTTTATTATAAGCGCACGTAAACTTTAAAATTTGAAATGTGTTCAAAAAGCTGTAACGATTTTTACTTTAGCAGGCGGATATGTTGCAGATTCGGTTCCCTTCACATTCGGACCCTGCACTGGATGCGGGTCCAGTCAGCAGGACCTATCAGGAGCTGGATGTGAGTCAGATTGGGTGTATCTCCCAGCGCGCGCGAGAATTTCACAGACGATCCCATGTAACTTCGACTCGATTGAAAAGGCAAGCACGAGACCTACAGTTTGGTGTTAAAAGATATAAAAAATATGTATGTCATTTTATAAACGCCGGCGCTTATAAATTTACTCGATTATAAGCCCACCCCCATGAAAAAACCTGTTTTATTATTGCCCCCCATGGGGGTATATCCGGGGGGATACGGTACTCCTCTCAAACAAGGAATTACGGTAACAATCAAGAAAAACAACAATGAAGATGAATATTTATGGATTTACACATATGTAAGGATAAGCATTGCCATAATTTTTAGAATACTATAAGAAGCGTTACATTATTAGTTAGGTGCCTATTGTCACTAAGGATAGCTTTGATATGCTTTGTAATGCATCCGCATCTCATTTCGGTTCAAAATACACTTTCAAACCACCGACCTATATCAGATCCGATATTCGCCACCACCTCACCCGTCGGATCAGCTTATGGACGGGGTGCTGGTGGCGAGCGAGACGGGCAAAGAACGCATTAGGCCCTGGTGTGACCAAGTATGCCGGCGATTTGGATCGATTTCCGTCACCGAGGTGCGTCGGCTTGGGCGAACACTGGTCTGCAGGGCTAATGAACGTTACAGAATCCGATCGCAAACGCTCGCAGAAAATCGCATTTGCTTGCGAACTCTGACAGGCAAACCTGGCCATTTTCCCCTAATTGGACTAGGCATGCCGAACGCGTTCGCAGCAGCATTTGTTTCATTTCTGCATTATCTCTCACAGCAATAATGCGGGAACTCCCCAAGTACTCACTCTAATAATGTGCGCGAGCACGCCCCCTGGGACGAGGCGGAAGCCTTTTCGCTCTGCGCCCCGTTGCGGAACCTCAATCCCGCCTCGTCCAACGGCAACGCTTGTCTTTCTTCCCGTCATGCTCCCGTCTCTTTCTCCTTCGCGCTCCATTGTCACGAAGGTCGCTCCTCTCTCGCACCTTCCCCTCCCCTACCCTCCACCGGACGCTGTGCCACAGTGCGGGGTCGGTCTCCCTCCGCACGCGCCTCACCGTCGGAAATCTCCGCAAATCGCGGAAACGAAACGCGTCACATTGCGCGAGTTCACAGCGCGAGCGTCAGCTTAGTCGAATTATAGGAACAATGGATCAATGTGCGCTTGGCCACTCAGTCTCAGCACTATCAAACACCCCCTTCCGAGGCAGTAGAATCACATTCTCGCGCCACTTCTCGCAGACTACGTGCTTTCGTCTCCTCCTCCTGGGCTCGCACATTCAAGCTCCCCCCCAATCTCGACGAGTCGACTACGAGCGTGAGTCCCTGCGGTTAGACACCGCACGTTCGAGCTTCCGTCGATTCTCGACGACTCGAGTCGACTCTACTGAGCCTCAGCCGGACTACGAGCGTTCCGGCGCTGCGCTTCGACGCCTGACTTGCAAGAAAAGCCGAAGCATATCGCCTCTGCGCGGTGATCGTTGATCCCGCCTTCCTGACTCCCTAGCCGTCACCCGCCTCCCTGACTCCCCGTCATCCGTCGTCATGAAGCGCTCCTCCGGGCGGTCCCGGTCTAACGTTGGCGGTGGTGTTGGCGGTACTAGCGTGGGCGCATTCGTCGCGGGACTCGTTGCGCTCAGCCTCCTCGCGACCCACGCCAGCGCTACTACCATCTGCCTTCTGGGCCCATCCGGCGAGGAGGAATGCTCGGAAGACCCCTTCGCTGGTGAGGCCTGGAGTGCGGGTGAGGCCTGGAGTGCGGGTGAGGCCTGGAGTGCGGGTGAGGCCTGGAGTGTGGGTGAGGCCTGGAGTGTGGGTGAGGCCTGGAGTGTGGGTGAGGCCTGGAGTGCGGGTGAGGCCTGGAGTGTGGGTGAGGCCTGGAGTGTGGGTGAGGCCTGGAGTGTGGGTGAGGCCTGGAGTGTGGGTGAGGCCTGGAGTGTGGGTGAGGCCTGGAGTGCGGGTGAGGCCTGGAGTGTGGGTGAGGCCTGGAGTGTGGGTGAGGCCTGGAGTGTGGGTGAGGCCTGGAGTGTGGGTGAGGCCTGGAGTGTGGGTGAGGCCTGGAGTGTGGGTGAGGCCTGGAGTGTGGGTGAGGCCTGGAGTGTGGGTGAGGCCTGGAGTGTCGGGTGAGGCCTGGAGTGTGGGTGAGGCCTGGAGTGTGGGTGAGGCCTGGAGTGTGGGTGAGGCCTGGAGTGTGGGTGAGGCCTGGAGTGTGGGTGAGGCCTGGAGTGTGGGTGAGGCCTGGAGTGTGGGTGAGGCCTGGAGTGTGGTTGAGGCCTGGAGTGTGGGTGAGGCCTGGAGTGTGGGTGAGGCCTGGAGTGTGGGTGAGGCCTGGAGTGTGGGTGAGGCCTGGAGTGTGGGTGAGGCCTGGAGTGTGGGTGAGGCCTGGAGTGTGGGTGAGGCCTGGAGTGTGGGTGAGGCCTGGAGTGTGGGTAGTGTGGGTGAGGCCTGGAGTGTGGGTGAGGCCTGGAGTGTGGGTGAGGCCTGGAGTGTGGGTGAGGCCTGGAGTGTGGGTGAGGCCTGGAGTGTGGGTGAGGCCTGGAGTGTGGGTGAGGCCTGGAGTGTGGGTGAGGCCTGGAGTGTGGGTGAGGCCTGGAGTGTGGGTGAGGCCTGGAGTGTGGGTGAGGCCTGGAGTGTGGGTGAGGCCTGGAGTGTGGGTGAGGCCTGGAGTGTGGGTGAGGCCTGGAGTGTGGGTGAGGCCTGGAGTGTGGGTGAGGCCTGGAGTGTGGGTGAGGCCTGGAGTGTGGGTGAGGCCTGGAGTGTGGGTGAGGCCTGGAGTGTGGGTGAGGCCTGGAGTGCGGGTGAGGCCTGGAGTGTGGGTGAGGCCTGGAGTGTGGGTGAGGCCTGGAGTGTGGGTGAGGCCTGGAGTGTGGGTGAGGCCTGGAGTGTGGGTGAGGCCTGGAGTGTGGGTGAGGCCTGGAGTGTGGGTGAGGCCTGGAGTGTGGGTGAGGCCTGGAGTGTGGGTGAGGCCTGGAGTGTGGGTGAGGCCTGGAGTGTGGGTGAGGCCTGGAGTGTGGGTGAGGCTGGAGTGTGGGTGAGGCCTGGAGTGTGGGTGAGGCCTGGAGTGTGGGTGAGGCCTGGAGTGTGGGTGAGGCCTGGAGTGTGGGTGAGGCCTGGAGTGTGGGTGAGGCCTGGAGTGTGGGTGAGGCCTGGAGTGTGGGTGAGGCCTGGAGTGTGGGTGAGGCCTGGAGTGTGGGTGAGGCCTGGAGTGTGGGTGAGGCCTGGAGTGTGGGTGAGGCCTGGAGTGTGGGTGAGGCCTGGAGTGTGGGTGAGGCCTGGAGTGTGGGTGAGGCCTGGAGTGTGGGTGAGGCCTGGAGTGTGGGTGAGGCCTGGAGTGTGGGTGAGGCCTGGAGTGTGGGTGAGGCCTGGAGTGTGGGTGAGGCCTGGAGTGTGGGTGAGGCCTGGAGTGTGGGTGAGGCCTGGAGTGTGGGTGAGGCCTGGAGTGTGGGTGAGGCCTGGAGTGTGGGTGAGGCCTGGAGTGTGGGTGAGGCCTGGAGTGTGGGTGAGGCCTGGAGTGTGGGTGAGGCCTGGAGTGTGGGTGAGGCCTGGAGTGTGGGTGAGGCCTGGAGTGTGGGTGAGGCCTGGAGTGTGGTTGAGGCCTGGAGTGTGGTTGAGGCCTGGAGTGTGGTTGAGGCCTGGAGTGTGGGTGGGAGTTGGAGTGTGGGCGGGAGTTAAGATCTGGGTGAGTTTATTGTAGGCTGGCTTGCAATATCTCCACTCCTACCTGCCCGCCCCCCACCCCACCCCCCCAACTCAGAAAATCCCACCTGCAAGAGAGTCTGTCCGAGCGATTCCTACTGCATTGTGCTTGCTGACAGCACTTTTGGCTGCCAGTGCGTCACCGACGGTCTGACCTTCAGTGAAGCCGACCAGCAGTGCCATGGTGAGTGTGTGCTGGGCTGGGCTGGGCTGGGCCAAACGAAAAGTCTGTCTGTCCGAGCGATGCCAAGTGCATTGTGCTTGCTGATAACACTTTCAGCTGCCAGTGCCAGTGCCAGTGCCAGTGCCAGTGCACCGCGAATGGCTTTACCTTCAGCGAAGACGACCAGCAGTGCCATGCCATGCCATGGTGAGTGCTGGAAACACAGAGGTCAAATGCACCCTCGCTCATAAGCAGTGGCATGGCAACCAACTGATGAGAGTGTTGTGCTCCCCACTCACCTTCTTGCTCTTGCCTCCCCCGCTCTTGCTTCCCATCCCTCTGGCTTCTCACCTACTTTCTTCCCTGGGTTAGAGGTGGAGTGTGGGCGAGAGGTGGAGTGTGGGCGAGAGGTGGAGTGTGGGCGAGAGGTGGAGTGTGGGTGAGAGGTGGAGTGTGCGTGAGTTCATCATCTTTCGTCGGCTAGCAGAATGACCACTTGTTTACCCTCTTTCCCTCCCTCACTCCAGGTCAGAACAATCCTCCTCCTAATGAGCCCCCCCCTGCTTCCTGCAACAAAGTCTGTCCGAGCGATGCTTCGTGCATTCCGCTTCACGAGCAAGATGTGGTTTGGTACAGCTGCGCATGCAATGAGGGTGGTCGTATTTTCAGCGAAATCGACCAAAAGTGCCATTCTGGTGAGTGCTGGGGAGCTTTGTTCGTCGTGCATCCCACCCACCTTCTTGCTTCCCACCCACCTACTTGCTTCCCACCCACCTACTTGCTTCCCACCCACCTACTTGCTTCCCACCCACCTACTTGCTTCCCACCCACCTACTTGCTTCCCCCACCCCGGTCTTGCTTCCCATCCCCTCACGTCTCACGGCATTCTTCTCACTGCTGGGGTGCTGGAGTGTGGGTTAATGCACACTACACAACACAATCAGGTAAATTCTCTATTTCAAATACCTGTTTCCCCTTTTCACCTTTGAACCATCACGTTTTCCCCTGCAGACATGTGCTAAGTAACGGATTGCGGCACCAGTGCTACTTGCTCTACGATTGATGGCGTTCCCACGTGCTTGTGCAAAGCTAAAGGTCACACCTTCAACGAACCAGACAAGACTTGCCATGGTGAGTGGAAGTGTGGGTGGGTGTTGGATATGGGTGTGTTATGAAGTGTGAGTTTGTTCTCACGATTAATTAAAAATGTCCATTTTACATCTCGAATGGTCCGTTGTATTAATAAGCACTATGCATACAAGCATGCAAGGTTGATGGTGAGGCAATCATCCTACTCGCCACCCGCCTAGTCCACAAGGGGTCCAAGCGGGGGTTCTAGGATTTTACATCTCTGTTCCCCTATTTCACCTTGAAACCATCATGAATTCCCCTGCAGACGCGTGTTATCAAGTGGATTGCGGCAGCAGTGCTACCTGCTCTTTGGCCGATGGCACTCCCAAGTGCTCGTGCAAAGCTACTGGCCACACCTTTAACGAAGCAGACAAGACTTGCCATGGTGAGTGGAAGTGTGGGTGGGTGCTGGAGTGTGGTTGGGGGTTGGAGTGTGGGTGGGTGCTGGATGGGCGTGTGTTGGTGTGTGAATTAGTTCAAATTGCCCATTTCACATTTCCATTCCCCTATTTCACCTTGAAACCATCATGCATTCCCCTGCAGACGCGTGTTATCAAGTGGATTGCGGCAGCAGTGCTTCCTGCTCTTTGGCCGATGGCACTCCCAAGTGCTCGTGCAAAGCTACTGGCCACACCTTTATCGAAGCAGACAAGACTTGCAATGGTGAGTGGAAGTGTGGGTGGGTTCTCGAGTGTAAGTGGGTGTTGGATATGGGTGTGTTCTGACATTTGAGTTTGTTCTCACGATTAGTTAAAATCGTTCATTTCACATCTCCGTTTTCCTATTTCACCGTGAAACCATCATGCATTCCCCTGCAGACGCGTGTTATCAAGTGGATTGCGGCAGCAGTGCTTCCTGCTCTTTGGCCGATGGCACTCCCAAGTGCTCGTGCAAAGCTTCAGGCCACACCTTTAGTGAAGCAGACAAGACTTGCCATGGTGAGTGGAAGTGTGGGTGGGTGCTGGATATGGGTGCGTTCTGAAATGTGAATTTGTTGTCATGATTAGTTAAAGTCGTCTTTTTCACATCTCCGTTCTCCTATCTCACCTTGGAACCATCGTGAATTCCCCTGCAGATGCATGTTATCAAGTGGATTGTGGGAAAAGTGCTTCCTGCTCTGTGACAGCCGCTGGCACTCCCAAGTGCTCGTGCAATGCTATTGGTCACACCTACAACGAAGCAGACAAGACTTGCAATGGTGAGTGGGGGTGTGGGTGGGTGCTGGAATGTGGGAGGGTGCTGGAGTGTGGGTTAACCAATTTTTTTTCCTTTAAGGAAACCATAAACCTTTTTTTTCCTCGAATCACCACTGATACTCCTGCAGACGCGTGTTATCAAGTGGATTGCGGGAAAAGTGCCTCCTGCTCTGTGACAGCCGCTGGCACTCCCAAGTGCTCGTGCAATGCTATTGGTCACACCTTTAACGAAACAGACAAGACTTGCAACGGTGAGTGGAAGTGTGGTAGAGTGCTGGAGTGTAAGCAGACAAGACTTGCAATGGTGAGTGGGAGTGTGGGTGGGTGCTGGAATGTGGGAGGGTGCTGGAGTGTGGGTTAACCAAATTCTTCCCTTAAAACGAAACCATAAACCCTTCTTTTTCCTCGAATCACCACTGATTCTCCTGCAGGTGCGTGTTATCAAGTGGATTGCGGGAAAAGTGCCTCCTGCTCCGTGACAGCCGCTGGCACTCCCAAGTGCTCGTGCAATGCTATTGGTCACACCTACAACGAAGCAGACAAGACTTGCAATGGTGAGTGGGAGTGTGGGTGGGTGCTGGAATGTGGGAGGGTGCTGGAGTGTGGGTTAACCAAATTCTTCCCTTAAAACGAAACCATAAACCCTTCTTTTTCCTCGAATCACCACTAATTCTCCTGCAGATGCGTGTTATCAAGTGGATTGCGGGAAAAGTGCCTCCTGCTCTGTGACAGTCGTTGGCAGTCCCAAGTGCTCGTGCAATGCTATTGGTCACACCTTTAACGAAACAGACAAGACTTGCAATGGTGAGTGGAAGTGTGGTAGAGTGCTGGAGTGTGGGTTAACCAAATTCTTCCCTAAACCCCAAACCCGAAACCCTGAACGCTTCTTTTCCTCGAATCACCACTGATTCTCCTGCAGATGCGTGTTATCAAGTGGATTGCGGGAAAAGTGCCTCCTGCTCTGTGACAGCCGCTGGCACTCCCAAGTGCTCGTGCAATGCTATTGGTCACACCTTCAACGAAACAGACAAGACTTGCAATGGTGAGTGGAAGTGTGGTAGAGTGTTGGAGTGTGGGTTAACCAAAATCTTTCCCTAGACCCCAACCCTAAACCCAAAATGCTTTTTTTCCTCGAATCACCACTAATTCTCCTGCAGATGCGTGTTATCAAGTGGATTGTGGGGCAAGTGCTTCCTGCTCCCTGGGAGGCAATGGCACTGCCACGTGCTCGTGCAACGTTGAAGGTTACGTATACAATGCAGCAGACAAGACATGCAATGGTGAGTGGTGGACTGTTGGTGGGTGCTAAGAAGAAACCTTTTGCGCCGCTTATCAACGGAGTGTTGTCCTTCGTCATTATACCTTCGGAACTTGTTTGTTCATTCTGACAAAGTCACCAGTATGGGAGAGACTGGGTCAAAGAACGTGAGAAACAAGCCTCTTTCTTCTCTCCATATGCCTCCCTTATGGTCCCCTTACCTCTTCCTTTTTTTGCCTGGGGTGTTTTTCCCTCTGTGGTGCCCACACCAGCCCCGTCTGTGGTGCCCACAAAAGCCCCGTGTCCCATTGATTGTGGAACCGCCAAGTGCGTTGTGGAGGAGGGCAAGGCCCAGTGCAAGTGCCCCTCGGGCCTCGTGTTCAACGAGGCTGAGAAGACCTGCAGCAATGCGTATTATACTCCTGGTGGGTGTCCTTGTGTCTTATTTCTGGTGGGTGTCCTTGTCTCTTGCTGCTGGTGGGTGTACTTGTCTCTTGTTGCATGCTTGCCAACAAACACAGAGTTAGATCAGTGTTGTGCAAGTGAATCTGACAAATGCAGTCTGAAAGAGATTTGCCTGATGCTAACTCCATCCTCCTCCACCCATGGCAGACTCAGACCCTTGTAAGACGGGCTCGGTGAAGTGCGCCAAGAACTCAAAGTGCGTCGTGAAGAATGGGCAGGCGATTTGCGCCTGTAATGCGGGCTACACCAAGACGGGCGGCCTCTGCACTGGTGAGCTCAACATTTGCTCTGGGTCCAGGGATGGTGACCAAAAGGTTAAGAGGCAGTCCAGCCTTTAGCGACAGTACACGGGATCACAGTGCTTCTGAGAATTCTCTAAAATACACTGCACGGGATCACAGTGCTTCTGAGAATTCTCTAAAATACACTGCACGGGATCACAGTGCTTCTGAGAATTCTCTAAAATACACTGCACGGGATCACAGTGCTTCTGAGAATTCTCTAAAATACACTGCCCGGGATCACAGTGCTTCTCAGAATTCTCTAAAATACACTGCACGAGAACACAGTGCTTCATGTGAGTTGATCTTGACTTCTTGTGGGGGTTCGGTGGCATTCTCATGTTTCCTCCTCATGCCACGCCACAGTGCATCCTCGTGCCTCTCCCCCTTCCATCCACTCCACTCGCCTCGTATTTCTCCACTGCTGTCCTGTCCCACGCAGCCCCATGCTCTTTCCCCCTTCTCCACCCCCCGCCTCCCACCCGCGCCAGCCATGTGCAAGCCTGCTTGCTGTGTGAATGCGCAGTGCATAGTGGTGGGAGGAAAGCCGGTGTGTCGGTGCAAGAAAGGCTTCAAAATGGAGAAGAACAAGTGCACACGTACGTGAGAGGGGAGGGGATTCTTTCCGTGCACACCAGTTTGACGTATCCCACCTGCTCCACCTCCCACATGCACCCATCTCCACCTCCCACATGCACCCATCTCCACCTCCCACATGCACCCATCTCCACCTCCCACATGCACCCATGACCATCCACATGACATTCGTGCCATCTACTCTCACTGTTTGCCCCCCAACTGTTTCTAACTCAATTCCTCAAGCTCTCCCTTCACTTGCACCCCTCCACGCACTTCCTGTGGCAGCCGAGTGCAACACTGCCTGCCCTGTGCAAACCCCTCACCCCCCTCCCCCCCCCCACCCCCGCGCACCTCCTGTGGCAGTCGTATGCAACACTGCCTGCCCTGCTAATGCGGAGTGCAAGGTGGTGAAAGGGAGTCCGGCATGTCAGTGCAAGGCGGGGTTCCGGATGGTGAATAACAACAAGTGCACACGTAAGACACAGTCACCTCCACCACCACTGTAACGAGGTGACTTTTGAGTCGACTCACAAGAACACAGTCACCTCCACCACCACTGTAACGAGGTGACTTTTGAGTCGACTCAAAAGAATACAGTCACCTCCACCACCACTGTAACGAGGTGACTTTTGAGTCGACTCAAAAGAACACAGTCACCTCCACCACCACTGTAACGAGGTGACTTTTGAGTCGACTCAAAAGTACACAGTCACCTCCACCACCACTGTAACGAGGTAACTTTTGAGTCGACTCATAAGAACACAGTCACCTCCACCACCAAACTCCTGCTTTTATGCTAGTACACCCATGAACTACCTTGCTGTCGCGTTTATGCCATCTAAAATTGCTGCATATTCTCATCTCTTCCTTGCTCGTTTTTCAACATTCTTCCATCTCTCGCGCTTCCCCCATCACATGTAGCAGCCGTATGCAAGGGTGGCTGCCCTGCCAATGCGCAGTGCAAGGTGGTGGGAGGAAAGGCGGCATGCCGGTGCAAGGCAGGATTCCGAAGGGATTATAACAACAACTGCACTTGTAAGGGACAGAAAGGGGAGATGGAGATGGAAAGGCAGAGGGAGAGGGAGAGGCAGAGGGAGAGGTAGAGGGTATTTTTCCTTCCCTGTTACTTCACTGGATGCTTTATCATTTGCTTTTATCATCTTCCATCTCATGTCACTTCCCTCGCATTGGCTCATGTCCTACGTTGTGGCTTGCCCTTCCGTTCGCCCTCTCGTTGCTCCGCAGAGAGCAAATCATGTTCACCACAAAGACGTTGGAGGAGAAGGGAATAAGGCATGAAATCGGACAGGGCTGATTGCAGAGGTGTGCAACTCCACATGGTTGTTTGGAGACCGTGACCAATTTCGCTCACAGTAGCAGATTAATTTCAATCTATGCGTTTGGGTTGATGCTACATGCTTGGTTGGCTTGTGCCAAATTGTGTGACTTACTCTAGAAGGATACTGGGCTGCACCTGACTTAGTACTTTGTGTGCTACTGTAGATTTCGTTTTCCGTGTTACTGCTTTGTGTCTTGATCGTTTACACATGTTTTCAAAAAAAAAATTGGTTGTAACTATATTTATATAATACATAGATACATCCACAGTTGTAACTGTATTCTTGGAGGGCCTATGCTATGCTCAGCGGGGCGCAGGGCATCCCCCCTCTGGTGCTTTACGGTGGACGGTGTAGGGTGCGCGGGTTGCGCCAGATGGACAGAAAATGGGGCGTCCAACATGCAGGCCCCTCCTCACAGATCCCTCTCAGTTGTGTTGGAAACAAGTTCAGCCCAACAAGTTGCTTCCTCTCGTCAGCCGCCACATGGCGCCACTTATCCGTATCCTGCCTAGTGTTCCCTTCCCCACTGGTTCTCGTTCTCCCTCTTGCTGCCAGCACTACCGGTATCCTTGCTTGCGTCATGAAGTCCAGCACCGCTCCGCGCCCAACTTTCTTCCTTTCGAAAGGGGCCGCACGCCACACCGCATTGCATCGTGCCAGCCAAATTTGGCGAAGCACCGCCGCTGTCAGCGTCATCTCGTGTAAACCCGACTTCGTTCCCCCCTCCTCAAATAGCATGTCCCCCGGCAAGTTCAGCAGCCTATCCGGGTTCAGTATTGCCAATGTTCTCTTGAGCGCGCCGATGACTGGTTGGATAACCGGGCAACTGCAGAGACAGTGCGCTAGGGTTTCTTCCCCTCCACAGTGCTAGCACTTGATTCTGTTCTGGAAGAAATCCAATCTCCCCCCCACCTGCAGGTTCATGCTGTGGACTCGTAGGAGCACATCCCTTGCCTTGAGGGGGACATGAATCGAGTCACGGACATCGATGGCCCGCTTCCAGTCGATCTTCTTGCCCCAAACCTCTTCCCATTCTGCGTGCCTCCAGGAGCGCCCTTTAGTCGTGGTAAGCACAGCCCGTATCTTGTGCAGCGGCGCTAGTTCTCCTCCCACAAAGAAGCCTGGTCTGGTTAGGAGCCTTGTCTTCGGGTCGGCCACTGGCCCTATCAGCTTTTTCCCTTGCACCACCATCGGCTGAAGCCCAGACGCCTCGACACACGTCTCATGTGAACGTCGCTGTGTGCCGAGTTTCCCATCCTCTCTGAGCGACATAATAGAGATAGCCGCTTTTGACGCCGCCACCCCTTTCACCGCCCATGGGAGTCGCATTGGTTGTCCCCGAAGGATGTACCTCACGATCCCAGATGCTGCCACCACCGCCTCCGCCGTTACCGGCTCTTCTACCATTCTCCTCCACTCTGGTGGCATGGCACCATAGGCCTTCTTCGCCATAGCCGCCGCCTCTTTGCTCCCAAATTCTATCTTCAGGACATCCTCCTTCTTTCCCGGGCCACCAATGATAAAGTCTTTAACACGTGTAGTGAGAAGGGCCGCTATGGCAATCTGGTGCCCAAAAGGACTGTTCCCCCTGTGCTTGATGTGCCTGTTGAAACCGATGAATTCCTCCTCCACTTCCCAGCTGTTTGCAATTGCCGGCGTGTTCGCGAGCGGCGATTTCCAGAAGACCTTTACCGCTGCCTTCCACCTCTCGCTCCCCTGATGCCAGTGTCTTCCCGCAGATGGATGTGCAAACAACGTAGCCCAGCATTGTGGGAAACCTTCTACTTTCTCCACCAGCCATTGTCGCGTGCCATCCGGCCCGTTCAAGAGTTTGTCGATCCTGCGGACCGCCAGCCCATCGAGCCAGAGCTTCGAGTCAAGCTGCCCCAAACCACCGTCCTTCCGCGGGAGGCACGCCAAGTAGGCACTCCAGAGTATGAATATCTTCTCCTCCGCTACCTCTCTTGCCGAGACAAAGGCATGATGGAGCTTTCGGATTTTCTCCCACAGTTCCTCCGGCGGTGAGTACACTTGTGCTTGAAACATTATAATCGACAGGACATAGCAGCTAATAACCGCCACCCTTGCCGGCGTTGTGAGGTATTGCGTCTCCCATTTCCTTAACTCCTCCTTTATTCTTTCGTATGCCCTCCCCCAGGACAGACCAACTTCTCCGTTGGGCGTGATCCACACCCCCAGAAGCCTCTATGATTCTCCATTTTCTGACCACTTATACGGAACGCCTGCCGGAGCCTGCCCCCCTCTATTGCGGCCTAGCGGCACCACCACCAACTTGTCACAGTTCACCTTCAGACCCGAATGCTTCCCATATTCATCCAGGACCTCTACCACCTTCCGCAGCTACCCTTCTTCGTTCAGCAAAAAGGAGGTGTGGTTGGCAAAACCCACGTACGAGATCGGCTCCTCTCCAGTCGACCCGATCCCCAGCATCTCGCGCTGGGTGGCTCTGCAGAGTGGTTCCAGCGCGCAGAGAAATAGGTAAGGTGCCAATGGGCATCCCTGCCTGACTCCTCTGTTCATCTCTACCCGCTCGCTCAGCCATCCGTTGACAATAATCTTGGTCCCCGCTCCTGCGTGTAGGCCTTTCGTCCAGCAGATGAATTTCTCCGGCACCCCCAGCTCGTTCATGACTCTGAAGAGATACCCCCGTGAGACCGTGTCATATGCCTTCTGAAAATTGACCAGCAGCAACAGCCAGTCTTCCTTGCTGCTGCTCGCCGCTTCCACCGCATCCGCTACCACCGAGACCGCGTCCGCCAGGCTTTTCCTCGGTAAGAAGCCGTGCTGCTCCTTTGATAACACCTTGCCCAACACTTTTTTGAGCCTCGAGGCCATAACCTTTGTAATCAGCTTGTATGCAACTGACATCAAAGTGATTGGCCGGTAATTCCCCAGCAGGCCCGTCGGGCCCTTATTGTGCAGTAACACCGTTACAGAGGTCGAGAGGCTCTCCGGCATCTCCGAGGTTCTCGCAAATTCCCTGACAAACCCCATCACATGCTCTCGAAGCATGTCCCAGTGCAGGATGAAAAACTCCGCCGGCAGCCCATCCTGTCCCGAAGACTTCCTCTTTGGGAGACTTTCCAGCGCCTCCTTGACCTCTGCCTCAATCCAGTCTGCACCAAGAAGCGCGCCTCCTACTCGGAGAGCACCGCTCCTTCCGAGAACGCTCCCCAGTCTATTTCCTCCTCCGGTGTCACTTCCCCGAAAGCCGTCTTGAAGTGGTCCGCCGACGCCTTCAATACCGCCTTCGTCCCCTGATATGTCACACCCCGATGTGTTATCTCCCGTATGGCCGTCCGCGTTTTCCATATCTTAATCTTCGCCGACAGGTAAGGTGACGGGACTTCCCCGTTCAGCTCCACCCCGATTCCAGCCAGCACCTATAACCTGTCTCTGCAACTCCGTAGGTAGGCCTCCAGGTGTGCCTCCTTACAGACCAGCCTGTTCCGCGCCCTTTCGTCACCCGGATGTCGCATCACCTTGTGCCGAAGAAGCTCGACCACCCGCTCAAGGTGAGCTACCGTTGCCTTCACTCTCTTCGTTTCCTCCCGCGAGTACTCCCTAAGACCAACGCTAAGCAATTTCAACTTCTTCCCCAGGTCGACGTTCTCCTCCTTTTCCAGCTTTCTCAGAATGCTAGCAGTCACTGTACTGACCCCCCTCCTTTGCGCCTGTCTCGCCTGCATCCTCCACAGGCCCGGACCCTAATCCACCGGCGTAGCTACCGCCAGCCCAACCTTTATCGCAAACCAATGGTCGGATAAGCCCTTCGGTATTCTGACGTGCTTCGCTTCCGCCAGCATCCCCAGCAGCGAGAAGGAGACCAGGCCCCGGTCGATGCGCGTGCTTGCCCCAGTCGCCCTGTCTCGGAAAGTGTATTCCGGCCTGGACGGGTGCAGTGCCCGGAAGGCATCTCTAAGATCTGCCGCCCGCCAGAAATTCAGCAGTCTCTGATTCCCATTGCCCGAGCCTGACCGCGACGACCAGTCCAGGTCTGGATCCTCTATTAAGTTCATATCCCCCATCACTACCAAGTGATTTGACGGTGGCTGGGCGTCGACGAACTGCGCCAAGCAGCTCCGGAAGAACACACCCCTGGCGCACGCTTGTGCAGGAAGATACATCGTCACAAGCCTGAAGGAGACCTGTGAGTACTCCAATGTGACTCCTACCTGTCTTCCCGACTGATGAGTAACCACATGTGTGAGCTTGATCTCTTCATTGAATGAGGATACTGCAACACCTCCTGCTCTTTCAGTGTTTCCCACCACTGCCGCTGACGATGGTTTCAGTTGGGTTCAGAAGTTGTGGTCCTCTCTTATCCTTGTGTCTGTTAGCACCACAACATCTGCCACTGTTTAAATCCAATGTGCATGCTCCGTTCTTTTGCCGTTACTTTCGAGGCCATTGACATTGACCTCGCACAGGGTGAGATTGCGGTTGTTACCCATTAATCCACTGGTACAAGACCCCCTCGCAACCACGGGGCTGGTACAAAGACACCACTCCTACGATCACCTGCCCTTGCGTAACAGGTATCGCACCTCGCTCCATCCGTTCCCATGAGTTACAGCTCCACCATCCATTGTCTCCCTCACCACCCTCTTTGTTGGCTGAACCCCCTCGCTTTACTTCAGCAGACCAAACTCCTTGCGAATCAGAATAAGGTTCATCTTCCCCCTGCTTTTCCTGTTGGCCGAACCCCCTTGCAAGAGTGCGGTACAATGCTGGATCGACTTCACATGTTCCACCGCCTGGGTAAAGCTGGGGCCATGCGCTTTGCCACACGCCTCGTGGACACACAACCAATCTTCTCAGCTCCCCCCCCGTGAAAATCAACACCAACGCAGGATCGCGCAGAGTCGAATGATAGAGACGCAGCTGCTCACGCAGGAAGCGATGCAGCTGTCAGCGAACCCAAGCGGGACCCCGACAGCTTGAAAAACAAGGTTAGTGTGCCACTGGTTACTATTTATCGCGTGCAGGCGCTCCAGAGTCAGATTCCACTTGCCAATATTCTCCTGACGCTCCATAACAAAATCATCATGGAACTTTGTCATGTGCATGCCATTGCAAGAATCACAAGAAAGCGATGGGTAATGGACAAGAAGTTGCTTGTGATGCACTGAGTCAGTCAACAAATGCCACCAGCGATACTTATTCCCCGGGTGGCCTTTGACCAACCCTCTGATCTTGTCTGTGTCCGCACCAATAACCGGACCAACCACCCGATGAAAAGCAGAGCCGCTAAGAAAAGGGGTCCTGCCGCGTTTCTCTAGCACCGTCTTCTCCAGGTACTCATAAACCATCTCCGGTGTGATGGCGGCCGGCACACTCTTTAGGAGCACTTCAATCGAGTCCAGGTGCGTCGCACCTTCCATGATGTATAACGGATTCTCCGGGTGTTGCCAGTCGAGGGTGATGCTTACGCCATTCAGCATCTTGTGCTCGACTCTGCGGCACCACGCGTAATTCGCGTCCGACGCCTGCTGGAAAGTAACGTTTCTTTGACAGCAACGCCGGTAAGAGCACTTGGCATCTTGTAGTTGTCAAAACGTGCGCCCACATATGCGTCCTCCACAGCGCCAGCAAGCCCTTAACCGTGTCAATAGTCCGCTCCACCTCTTCTTCGTACTTGATCGGGATCAGTAGCGTGATCGAAAAGCCGGCGCACGCAGCAATCTCTCCCGCCTTCACGGGGTAAAAGCGTTCCTCCGGATCGTCGCTGAGATACCCATCTTCTTCTTCCTCCTCTTCGTCTTCCCCTTCAGCAAGAACCTCTGAAGTAGCAGCCGGAGGCGTCACCTCTTCCTTGTTCCCCTTTTCCTCCTCAGCCTTGTCAGCCCCATCCTCACATCGCAACTCTAGGGGTGTTGGCCGGGAATTTGCTGGCAAACAGTTCGGCGACATCAGGTTCCCGCAATTTGCTGGCGGGAATGTTTTCTAATTGCCCACTGAGTCCGAGTTGATTCTGATCGCGCGCAGTTACCGAAATTTTGGTTGGAGTTGTCACGAGAATGTTTTCGGGCAAACATCCAATAACACAGGCATTCAATGTGCTGAAAAAATCTCGGTGCAGCGTGGTTCGTCGGGTTTCCGAAAATTTTGGATACCCGGCAAAAACACTTCACGTTTGTCCATGAGTGGTTCGTATCATGATGTACAGCTACATCGTGTGATTAGACGAGTAATGTAAAGTTAAAATATGTATATAGCACATACAATTCTGTAAAAAACACTTTAAAATACCTGCACATAGTTCATTGCTTCAACATTATAAACCCAATGAATCTCTAATATTTGTACGATGTTCTTTGGTGATTTCTATGCGACAATCAAATATTGACAAAAGTTAGAAGAAGAAAGAGGAAAGAGGAATGAACTAGCAGAAATGGGGATACAAATAGCAAACCCTAGAAGGGTTGTACTGGCTATAGAGCACCCCACTACAGGCTAGAACATAAGAATAATATTCTGACACACCCCCATAGCCAAAGTGGGGTGTAATCAGCAGAGCAGGCAAAGTAGTACAAGCTCAGGGTGGATCACAATGTCACCACACATTTTGAGCACAAGTTCAAGAAGAGATAGTTTAGAGTTCACAATTATGAGCAGAGCTAGTGGTAGTCACAACGGGCAAGTGAGGAGGAGGAGAGAGAGTGAGGGGAGAGGAGATAGGAGGCGACGGCTGAAGCTGCAGGCACACGGGCAACAGGAGGCACACTGGCACAGCGGCTACCGGACAGCGCCCGGACTACAGGAGTAACAGGCCCCGCGGCTCAAATAGCGGCGGACGGGCAACGGACCCACGGGCGGCTGGCACAGCTGGCTACGACTGAGCTACCGGGACAGCGCCCCGGACTACAGGTGCTACGAACGACAAACTGACAACCTCCACTCAACCTCCCGCACACAGTCCCACCCCCCTGATGCACACCCACTGCTACACCGCTAGCTGCACTCCCACGCACCCCCCTTAAACCCTAAACCCGAGTCTCCCACACAACCACCCCCCTCAGCGACAGCTGCAGTAGTGGGAGACGAAGGAGGAGGAGGAGCAAAGGGAGGAAGGCACACCGAGCACCCCCATACCCGCCACCCCACAGCAAGCGGCCCCCTCAGGTCGCCTCGACGGACGACGGGAAATGGCAGGGGGAGGGGGGGGAGGAGGGGGGGGGGGGGGGGGGGGGGGGGGGGGGGGAGGCGGTGTGGTGAAATGGGCCCACCACGGGCCTGGTTGGAGGGCGGGGCCGCGACAAGGGGCGGGGCCGCGACGAGGGGCGGGGCCGCGACGAGGGGCGGGGCCGCGACGGTCGGGCAGGGCCGCTTCGAGGGGCAGGGCCGCGACACAGGGCGGGGCCGCGACGTAGGGCGGGGCCGCGACGGTCGGGGCGGGGCCGTGACGTAGGGCAGGGCCGCTTCGAGGGGCGGGGCCGCGACGCAGGGCGGGGCCGCGACGTAGGGCGGGGCCGCGACGTAGGGCAGGGCCGCTTCGAGGGGCGGGGCCGCGACGCAGGGCGGGGCCGCGACGTAGGGCGGACGCCCGCGAAGGTAGGGCAGACGCCCGCCGCGCGCCTCGGGGTGCACAGCGGGCAAAGAACCGCCGCGCGCCCCGGGGCGCACGGCGGGCAGAAAACCGCCGCGCGCCTCGGGGCGCACGGCGGGAAGGAAAACCGCCGCGCGCCTCGGGGCGCACGGCGGGAAGGAAAGGTAGCAGCGGAAGCGAGGTGGAAACCCACCCACAGGATCGATCCAAGGGGATCGACCTGCTCTGATAGCATGACAAAAGTTAGAAGAAGAAAGAGGAAAGAGGAATGAACTAGCAGAAATGG